GATAAAATCGAAAAAGAATAAAAACGAAGGTAAGTTATGGCTATTGCAGAGTTAAAGACTGTTAACGTACACTTGGTAATTAATTCACTGGGAGGTAGAACTATATTTTATTGGCTAATGTTGTGTTGACATGTCTGGTTGCAAAGCACGCATGAATTTGAATTAAGCTAGCATGTGAGCTGTGTTGTAAACATTTGTTTTGTTGAATGCACTTTCCCAGCGTTGGTTTCTTTTCGAGTTCACACCAAGTACATTTTAAATAAAATGTATTTTCTAGTAATTTAGCTTACTGGTTGTTTTTGGTGTGGGCTACGAATTTTAAGACTGCGTTAGGTGATTATATAGTAACGTTAGAGATCAAGGATTTTTATTGTCAATTCACTATATGTGCAGGACATACTGAAAATCGAAATTCCGTTTCTCTCTCACCTAGTATTGAATGCCATACCATTTGGGAAACTAAAACAGAATAAAAATAGAGTTAAAATAGACAAAAAAAAGAATAAGAAAACTAAGCCAAAGTGATTAGGATAAAACTAAACGGTACAACCTAATAGGCTGTGACTCACCTCGTACAATCAGAGACAGTAGTGCAAATAAGAAGATTGTCAGATGGTTGTGAGATTGAGATGCACATGGACAGTAGTGCAAAAGACCAACAGCAGCAGATTTATATAGCAAGAAGGGGGAATGTACATTAATTTCTGATGCAATTATGGAGAGACTTTGCATAATATGAAAAAAGGAAAGAAAAACAGGCATCAACATGTCTATGCTTCTGATGTCTGTGCCATGCAGTGAATGAATCAGAACTCCTAACTGTTCCCGATGGATGGAAAGAGCCAGTGTTCACCAAAGATGACAACCCCCGTGGGCTTCTGGAGGAGAGCAGCTTTGCCACCCTGTTCCCTAAATACAGAGAAGCCTACCTCAAAGAGTGCTGGCCACTTGTACAGAAGGCTTTAGGAGAAGCAGTAAGCATCTCTACGTATGCTCTGTTTAAAATATCGGAACCTAATGAGAGGTAAACGCAGTACTTTGTCCTGCGTAACCTCCTCAGTTGATGCGGACTGCCCTGCTTTGTTTTTCCACTGTATTTTCTCTGTGTTGGGTCTCTGTGTAGAGGAGGGAGGGACTGTGCCCCTCTCACACGTGCACTCACAGCTGAGCAGAGGGAGACTAGACCATGTGAAGGATCACTGCACAGTGACATGGTCACATCCTCCACAGTCAGCCAGTAACGAGACCGTATGAACTTATCAAACGGCTGTTGAATAAGCAGAACACAGGCATGTGGAAAGGTGATGTATTCACCGCTTTGCCTGTGGTCCACTTACTGAAGTCCTGGTTTTACCTCTAAGCCAAAAAGTGAAGTCTTCATTTTACCTCTAAACCAGTACAAGGGCCTCTTTACACATGTGATTATAATGTTTATGGCTGAGGTGTGAAGGGCTGACATTTAACCATTCATGGGAGATTGCTCTGCATGCACACACCCCTCCCCACTTTGTGTTCCTGGAACTTGATTTTATTAATACCTCTAGAGGGGTGCTGAAATTTTGCTTCTGGAATGCACTTCCAAAGAGGGTGCATGGCATTGGAAATGTTTTGGTAGGGTCCTATAATGCACAACCCCCTTTAATAGACCAGTTACAGTTGCTGCAGTGTGAGGCAGATGAAGGAAGACAAGGACAAATGTTAAGAATTCATTGAAATTGATCATTATAATTATTATGAATAATACATTTAATCTTCAATAAAATTTAGATTTTAATTCTGACCTCTCCCCATATCATGAGTATTCAAATGAAAATGGGCTTGAACCTGGTAGGAATGTGTCAGTACCTTGTGTCCTTGTCAGACTGAGCTGCAGATCTGAACTGTGTAGGCCATATTGTTTGAATGCTGTCATGTTGATTGTGTTTTTCTCAGCACATAAAAGCCTCTCTTGACCTGATAGAAGGCAGCATGACAGTTTGCACTACTAAGAAAACATTTGACCCGTATGCTGTCGTAAGAGCCAGAGATCTCATCAAGCTACTGGCCAGGAGTGTCCCATATGAACAGGTAATAATCACTGTGCTTAAATACTGCATGTTATTGTGGCCTGTCTGCCTTTCCTTGGGTATTTTGCAGCACATGCCATATGTATATTTTGTGATTATTCAGTTTTGCTTCCCTGTTCACACTTTTTCTGGGGGGCTTCCAGGCTGTGAGGATATTACAGGATGACATGGCGTGTGACATTATCAAAATCGGGACCTTGGTTCGAAACAGAGAGCGGTTTGTGAAGCGAAGACAGCGGCTGATTGGCCCTAAGGGCTCCACCCTAAAAGTGAGTGCCACGTCAGTCCATTTTTGATTCAACATGTCTCATACCTGGAGGGGTGCAACAGTTATCTTGAGGAGACTGCTTTCTGTGATGGTTGTTGATTGTTAAGAATTCCTGTTAGACATGTGGAAGGCTGTTATGCTGAAAAATCTTCATATATATTTTAGATGTAACAACGGTTCCCTCTGGTTTCTCGTGATATAAACCAGACACCCAGTATATTTTGATGGACAACAAAAATTTTAAACAGTAAGATTAAAGTCGAAGTGTTTTGAAAGTTGTGTTTTTTTAAACCATCCTTTGGTGCTGTGTGATACCTGTGTAATACAAGGAGGAAAAATATCTCAGTTGAGTTGCACTGAGCTGCAGTGTGAACAAAGTGTTATGCTTCCTGGGTGTGTTCACAGAACTTTGTGTGTAGTTGCTATGGTGTGTTTTGTTGAAAATGTCTGTAGGTGGCACCATTGCTTTTAATCAGACAGCATCTTAGAGTTTGTATCATTAGATCAATGTATCCACAAGTCACAAGGTAAATGCTTTTACTTCTCTCACCCTTCTCTCCAGGCATTAGAGTTATTAACTGACTGCTATGTGATGGTGCAAGGCAACACTGTGTCAGCCCTGGGGCCCTACAACGGCCTGAAGGAGGTAAGAGCATCACCAAGCCTCAAGCTGTCCACAGGAGTGAATATGAAGGGTGGAGATACTGACATCCAGTAGGTGATCATGAGGCAAAATCACCAGTGTAGACACAAGTCACTATGTGACACAATTTACATTTAGAAAATGACTTTTTGTTTTCACTAGAAGATGAAGCGTACTCATGAAAATGTCTACACTGATGAGTTCAGCATCTCTGGACGTAACATCGCATGTCTACAACTTTGAGCTCGACCTTGGGGGTGGCTGTGGCTCAGGAGGTAGAGCAGGTTGTTTCCTAACCAGATTAGCGGTTCGATTCCCGACTTGTCCAGTCAACATGTCGAAGTGTCCATGAGCAAGACACTTGACCCCCAGTTGATAACACCGGTGTGTGAATGTGTGTGTGTTTGGGAGTCTGAATGGCTGAATAGTCTGAAAGCGCTTTGAGTGTGCTGTAAAGCGTAGAAAAGTGCTATACAAGTATAAGACCATTTACCATTTACTTGATGTTCTCCGCTGCCTGTGTTAAGGTGCAACACAAACTCCCCTCAGGTTTAATTAGGCTGTGTAAGTTTAGATAGAGGGGAGATGGCTCTAATGAGCAATAGCAAAGACAGTGGTGCCAATAGATTTGGAGGACCATGGTGTTCAATATAAAAAAGGATAGTTTATGAAATATGTTAATTTATTTGAAAAAAATTGGTGCATCTCTATATAGAAGCTTTTGGATTTAATTAAAAAAAATTTTTGTCTCCTTTTCTGTTTTTTAGGTACGCAAAGTGGTGATGGACACGATGAAAAACATCCACCCCATCTACAACATCAAGGTATGTTTGTACTGAAACCTGATGGGTTTGGAGACTTTATGCCAGCCACATCTCCACAGCAGTAGTACAGGATAAACTCAAATATGTGGACACACGGTGTTCATGCCCAATGAAGATGTTTTCCATCCTTGTTCTTGATGTCCTGACTGAAATAAATCTCTCTGGGTTTGTTTGCCAAGGCTGGCTCAACCTAGAGCTGAGGGCATGAGGAAGTCACAAGTGCTTTGCAGCACTAACTGTGTCACCACTACCAGTTTGTATTATTCACAAGGCTTTATTTTTAGATCTATGTTTAATCTTCCAATATTGTAAAGCAGCCATCGTGTCTGACTTGTCTAATACATGTGATAGCCACAGTTTCTCAAACAGTGTTGAGCTGCTTAGCGCATGTGTTGAAGCACTGCATGATGTGCTTGTTTTCCTTATATTACATTACAAACTTAAGATTTGCCTGAACTGTAAAACACATCTACACTGCATTCGTGTGGATTTCTCTTTGCCATCTTGCTCACAGACTAGAACCAAACTGCCAACTTGTTCTTTTCCATCGTGATGGATTAGAAATGCAATAAAGATCTATTGCATCCTTGCAACATTTCAGTCTTCCCTATAAAAATAAAGCTTAAAAATGTCATTGTTTTAAGATAAACTGTACCCAGTAATGAGTCACTAACATTGTCACCATTTCCTGTGGCTCTTTTACAATAAATAAGGGCTTACGTTACCTTCAAATTAAAACATTGTTCTGAAACGCACAGGAAGTCCTGCACTGGTGTGAACAGCAGCTTTGTCTTTAGCTTACTGTAGCTAATGAAAGCAGTCAGGCTCCTGTTGTACTGATATGACTCAAACCACTAAAGTCTGATGACAACTGTTGGGGAGTAACACTGCATATGCCAAATAGTTGAATAAAGGTTTTTGTGGCTCCAAATCAAGTTTCCTGAATCTACTTTAATGTCCTTATGTGATGTTACTTGAGTCCGTTTTGGTTGGGGTGAAGATTGCAAAAGGCTGTGATTCAATTTAAGTTGCTGTTGAGGAATTTACACAGGTTTGGTCATTTTTGAGACAAACATTCAAAACTAATAACAATATTTGTTAACACTAAATCAAAGTGCTTCAGTAATGAAAGCCAGTGGTAATAAAGCTGCATTTTAGTGCAGGCAGGGCTTATGGTGTGACAGCGCGTCACGATCAGAGTATCACGTTTTAACTATTCTTATCCTACCCACTCCCTACCACCACTTTTCAAATTGGCTGACGGTTGGACTCATTAGGCACTGATGATCAAACGGGAGCTATCCAAAGACCCTGACCTGCGGAATCAGACCTGGGAACGCTTCCTGCCCAAATTCCGCCACAAGAACCTGACCAAGCGTAAAGAGCCCAAGAAGAAGAGTGTGAAGAAGGAGTACACACCGTTCCCTCCATCACAGCCAGAGAGCAAGGTCAGGAAATGTTTGTTTGAAACCAAAGTTCTGCACAAATGAATACCCTAACAGAGGTTATTTGCTCCAATTTATTTAGCACATGATATCTGTGCTGTCTTGTTAAAAAGATACAGGTAGTTTAAAGTTATTATAACAAAATGAACATAATGTAAACTAACAGCAGATAACCTGGAAAAAGTTCCACTAATGTTTGAAGACTTTTAGATTATGTTACTGAAACATTAAAACTAAACACTAACTTCTTTGTAGGTTGACAAGGAGCTGGCCACAGGAGAATTCTTCCTGCTTCAAAGTGTGAAAAAGAGGAAGAAGATGGAGGAGATGAAGGCGAGCACTTAGAACTCTTTGTTTGTTCACACGACTGATGAGTCTGAGTGTAGACTTCCAAAACTGCACATTCTCTACGGAGCCTTGCAGAAACCCTAAAATGGTAATGAAAGAGTTCTGTGATATTTTCAGAAGTGACAAGTGACTGTCACTGTTCCTCTTTCTCAGGTTAAACAAGCAGAAGCACTGACCAAGAAGCAAGAAGAGCGGAACAAAGCTTTTATTCCTCCTAAAGAGAAGCCTTTAATGAAGCAGATCACTAAAGGTAAAGGAATGAGCATTTATCTGAAAACCACAAATATGTCTGAAACTGAATAGTGTAATAGTACAACTGTTTTGTCACAGCTCCCACTGAAGGCAAGCTGGACATCAAAGCCATCAAGGACAAAGTGAAAAAAGCCAAAACCAAGAAACTGGGGGCTCCACCGGTGAACACAGCTCCTCCCACCAGCACTACCACAAAGATTAAGAAAAAGAACAAATGCTAACTACAGACTAGCCCCACTGCTGTTGTAATGTGTGTGGAGCATGGGTTGAGCTGCATATTTCTGTCCAAACCCAATCTGTGCCTGAGAGTGTGCATCTGGGCCTGAGGCAGTTCAGTTTGTACAGTGATGTTCCCCTCCTCATTAAACAAAGCAAACATTTGAGTGCTGCAGCCGTCTGGAATAAGGTTTGACCTGCGTGTCTGAACCCAACCTGAACATAATTTTCCAAATTTCTGACCGAACCTGGCCCAAGACTGAGAGATCCCTTCGGGCTCTAAATGTGTACCATGTGGTAGGGTATTTGTTGGACAGTGTAAGGACTTTAAGCACGTAGGAAGATGGGGCGTCAGACATGATGTATTGTGCATGGATCAAAACAAATTCCAGTACAAGCTGTCATGTTTTTATTGAACTATTTTTGTTGTTGTGAGGAATTTTCCTGTTTATATTTTTCTGTATATTATATCTGCAGCCCAAGTATGTTGAATAGTAATAGATTTTCCTCGTGCCTGCTTCATTTGTGGTCTTTTAATCATTATGATTGCACAGATTTTGTATGGTCGGTGTTTAGAGTTAAAACATATAGCTCTCCTTTATAAAGTGTCTGTGTTGAGGAGTAGTCCAATTGAATCAGATAGAAATGTGAACTTAAAATGAAAAATACATTAAACTGGAATTTAGGGCAGGGGCGCACCAAGCGGACATGAAAGAACTAGTGCCACCGAAGGCCGACTGCTGCGTCAGCTTTGTCTGGGCCAGTCAGGTTGAAAAAGCGGCACTTGAACACGATGTACAGACTCTACAGCCAATGTACAACTAGCATGTAGGTTCTGTACCTGTGTGACATAAATAACTCCTTCCCAGCAGGTGTTGGTATCTGTATTTGCCATTCAGAAAGGGAAAGAAGAAGAGCTATACTGTGGAAGCATAAGCTATAAACAAAGCACCCCTTGTTTAAAATAGCTGCTTATTGAGAATATGACTGACAAGTTGCAAATGACAAATGCCATTCTCTGCTCTTGGTCTTTTGATTGTGGAAGAAGAAATGACATTGTGGATGCAAAAGACAAGGAGAAACCACTCTGTATGAAATCATGGCTGCTACAGAGGCTTTGCAGAACCGTTCTTTTCTCGTATATTGATTTGCTAAGATCAACAGCTCTCTCTCACCGATGAAGCCCAACGGGCAACGCTGATTCAACATGTTGAATCAGTTGAAAAGCTACTGACAGTGGCTAACTAGTGCCTGTGGTGCAAGACACACCGGAAAGACAAGCCTTGACAGATGCTTACTGACGGCTTGATGGTGTGTCTCTGCCTTTAGTTTTGTTTGGCAGCCTGATACCACAACTCACCTCTGCACAGAATCTGGTTCCATAATGCATCAGAAAAGCAAAAGTGTCAAAGCACCATATTCATGATATTTTGGCTTCATTTTTGCATAGTCAGATCAGATCACAACACGGACTTGTTACACAATTGTGGCTTCAGCAAAACAGTGGACCCATATTGTTGCCGTTTTCTGCATGTGCAGTGTGTTTCTTTACAGCTCATTTGGCCCATAAAAGCTAGTTATAGACACAAAATGATAGCTGAATATGTTCATGTTTTTCAGGTCAAATCAGGAGCTTTATTCATAGCAGAAGACATTGGGGTAATGGTACTGGACAACATATGCTGTAATGAAGGTGAAGATGAGGGCAATAGGCCGAATGATGGCAACAATCAGAACAGACACATAGCTAGAACCAGTGGTAGATGGGGAAGGGTCCCAGTCTGGTGTCCAGTTGTAGCCTGCAAACAAAGTAGTTGGAGCAGATATATTCTGTATTAATTGTCTTCCATGAGAAAAAATGAATGCCTAATAAAGCTTTCTGATTTATCCACTGTAATACATTGCTCACCTTTTCACTCTGACATCAGTATTGCTGTGAATGTATATTTTAGCTGCATTGCATCTAATGCTGCATTTCCACTATCAACCATAATGAGCAGTATACTCCAAAGTTCCCCTTAACCATCACCAAGCATACCGTCCACGGTTGGACACAGACGGTCCTGCTTTGTTTTTCTACTGTCTTTTCTCTGTGTCGGTCTCTTTATAGAGGAGGGAGGGGTTGCTCCTCTAACACACACACAGTTAGCTGTGTGTTTGTAATGCTGATGCTTGAGGTGTGAAGATGTGGACCTTTAACTAATCACTGGCGACTGCTGGAAAAATCTCTAAACTGTATTTTTTGTTTAAAGTCCTGTTATACTTACTTTTGTGTGAATCTCGTTCCGTGTTACCTGCAAAGACATTAAGACACATTAGAAATGACTGAAATGCCTTTTTATAAACACTTAACAGAAGTTGCAATTTTCATGTTTTGCCTTCTTTATGACCAGGTTCATATTTATAAGAGACTTGTTTATAGCCAGTAACATATTAAACTAACATAGTGAAACCCTTTTTTTGCCTCCCTTCCTTAAATCTGTGGTAATCAACTAACCTTGAAATGACTAAGGCTGCGACAGTCCCTGAAGTCATGAATAAAAGTCATGGTTTTTAAAGCTAAAGGAACTATGTATAAATATTTCACCAAAAATGGGACCAAATACTCACGGCAAAGACTGTCCACACAGGGACCATTGCATTGAGCGCAGACTGCCCCTTCAGAGTCATATGGTTTCCTTCCATCGATATTGCCCCTGCATAAAGAACCGTTATTCAAGTTAAATCACTTTCCTATACTGTAGGTAGGAAATGTTTCCTCATTCTGATCTTGTCTTTGTTCTCAATCTTACACCTTATTATCACTCTTTACTGTGGATTTGTATTTATTTTTTCAATGTAGTAATTGCAACTATTCATATTTGTTGCATTTTTTTTGTTTTTTTTGTTGTGTCTGTTATTTTCAGAAAAGACCAAAACCGACAATGTGTTAAACTGTATCTCACTACTTTTGACTTCTCTACCCTGCTTATGGCATTTGAGCCCATTGGCTCTTTCTGAAGACAACACACATTCACTACAGCTGGATGCTGTGGTTTTAGCAATTGTTCATCAAACTGGAGAAAATAGTAGACAACAGTCACTAAGTCAATAATTTCAGTATGTGATCCTAGTGCAAAAGTGTCTTACCAATGTGTTTTAATCATTTTTGAAGCTCTATACACATAATACTTGTTAGTAGGACACATTCCTTACTGGGTTTGGTACTTTCATGCGGTTTGTTATTAAGAAAAATACAAAATCCAGCCAGCCTTACTGCATACTTTAATGTACTGGATCTTGCAAGTTGGTTGCAGTAAATGCACAACAGGATGCCAATTCATGTTCTTTTTTTTCCTGACATTAAATCATGACCTTGCCTATCCATTAGACCCAACAATTTCAGGCTCAAACACCAGTTACCAAATTATGTGTACAAGACATTTTCAGAAAAAATAGACATTTTAAAAATTTGAGAGGTGTCAGGTTTTCTAGATATCATACGACCTTTTTGGACCCCTTTGAGCCTTGCAGTTTCATCCTTAAATATAAACAGTTTCCTACATTTTTAAATCTAAACCCAGAGTTGTAAGTGATATTTGTCAATGTGTTGAACTTACGCTGGTGCATAGTTGCATACAAAAATAGCACCCTCGTTCGGAGAAAACTCTCTGATACCATTTGGGCACAGCTGAGTGGCACAGCCAACTTTGTAGCTGCTTGCCCAAACAACCTGGGAACAACAAAAGGGTTAAACTGTGCTATGCAGAACACCTTTAAAGGTTTCCCCTTTTTTATTGACCCTCATCTCTATAAGGCTTTGCAAATTCATCACAAACAGGGAAACCTAGATGATAAGCATGTTGTCATTATCAGTAAAGAGTGCACACACCTGTGTATAGTGGCCACAGACTTTACTGCAGGTATTTTTATCGTAGTTGTAGACTTGCTTTTCATTCACCCACAATGTGTTTTAATCATTTTTGAAGCTCTATACACATAATACTTGTTAGTAGGACACATTCCTTACTGGGTTTGGTACTTTCATGCGGTTTGTTATTAAGAAAAATACAAAATCCAGCCAGCCTTACTGCATACTTTAATGTACTGGATCTTGCAAGTTGGTTGCAGTAAATGCACAACAGGATGCCAATTCATGTTCTTTTTTTTCCTGACATTAAATCATGACCTTGCCTATCCATTAGACCCAACAATTTCAGGCTCAAACACCAGTTACCAAATTATGTGTACAAGACATTTTCAGAAAAAATAGACATTTAAAAAATTTGAGAGGTGTCAGTTTTTCTAGATATCATACGACCTTTTTGGACCCCTTTGAGCCTTGCAGTTTCATCCTTAAATATAAACATTCCTACATTTTTAAATCTAAACCCAGAGTTGTAAGTGATATTTGTCAATGTGTTGAACTTACATTCTTCACACTGAAGATACAAAAATAGCACCCTCGTTCGGAGAAAACTCTCTGATACCATTTGGGCACAGCTGAGTGGCACAGCCAACTTTGTAGCTGCTTGCCCAAACAACCTGGGAACAACAAAAGGGTTAAACTGTGCTATGCAGAACACCTTTAAAGGTTTCCCCTTTTTTATTGACCCTCATCTCTATAAGGCTTTGCAAATTCATCACAAACAGGGAAACCTAGATGATAAGCATGTTGTCATTATCAGTAAAGAGTGCACACACCTGTGTATAGTGGCCACAGACTTTACTGCAGGTATTGCTATTGTAGTTGTAGTATTGCTTTTCATTCACCCAGTTTTCGATGGCTATCTTCACACTGAAGGATGATGGTGGGTAGCCTACCCATATGTTCTCTCCTACCGAGGAGAAAGTAGGGTGCATACGGCGGGTATCCTTAAGGTGGATGTTATGTTCAAACACACAGTACTTTGCCCATGCTCTTGCAGTAATGGCCAAGCCCTCATCCCATGTCTGGATAGAGACAAAATGTGAAGCCACTGTAAAAATGGGTTTCATTAGCAGGAAAACACATTTTCTCATTTCATCCTTGTGGCATCTATTCATGCAGATAGTTTTAATTTGTCCAAGCTTTGAAATTTATTCTGCTTCCCTAATACCATGGAAGTAAATTTTCTATATTTTTGTCCTCCCCAGCTACAGACATGAGAGAGCCAGAATATTAGGGACACCTCTGAATATACTGTAATGTAGTCCAGTGCAACACCACCTTTAACTGTGACCTCAATAATAAACATACTGTATAATTTAATTAGTACATTTATGATAATTTCACCAAAAATGAAGATTTTTATTTTCATAAACACAGATGTTAAAGTGGAAGTGTTGCACTGAATTGCATACAATACAGGTGTACCTAATAAAGTGGCTGGTGAATGTATATTCAGGCAAGAAAGATCAAAGTGCCGCTTTTGCCTACCATGTAGAACATTTTGTTTGCAGGTGGAGTGACAGATGATCGTGCCCTGTTGTGTTCTCTTATGCATTCTTCAATGAACTTCCCATCAGTGATTTCTGGCAGCAAGACCGAGCACACACCCCAGTCCAGGAACATCCAGGCCCACAGCAATATCTTCACCATGCTCCGCATATTTGAAAAGCTAAAGCACCACAAGCAATGGTGGAACTTGTGGTTTGTGAAATACCATGCATCTGTGAAATTGATACAGGAAATTACACACTAAAGAGGAACAGGATGTAAGTGCTGTTTATGAGAGTCAGTGTGACAGTTTAAATACAGAAAAAGGTGGGTCGGTATGTAAAGTCAAATTAAAACTGATTTGTAAATCATCTGTATCTTGTATTACATTGAAAAAAAATACAGAAGCACATATTATTTGATACCTTTTTTTTTCATTCTCCATCGCTTAGTCCCTGAACGGGGTCACAAGGGGGGGGGCAGTAAAGCACTTACCATGGTGTGATGTTGTCATTTCTTTTTGCAATACTTAAAAGATGTTTAGGGACACCAGTCCTAGTGTGTAATTTCCTGTATCAGTTTCACAGATGCATGGTATTTCACAAACCACAAGTTCCACCCTTGCTTGTGGTGCCTTATCTTTTCATTGTTTGCACCGTTTGTTGCTTGTTAACACTGCTTATTTTGTTATATTACACAGCCTTATGCTGGTAATATAC